AAGAGCCCAGCCTAACGAATGACAGTGGAGGTATCATTTAAGGGCCCTGGTGCAAGATATCCAAAAGCCAATAAACACTCCAGTGATTTATTTGAGCATTCACATCGTGCTCCAAAGAGCGACAGGCCAGAGGGCTTGTCCAGTCCCAGGAGAGAGAGCCCCACCACGCTTTCCATGAGTCTCCCTGCAGCTCTTTTCTTACCTGCCTGGGAACAAACGCTCTGTCCTTGACTCCAGTACAAGCGGCAGCCTCCTCTGCCACCTGTCAGGGAACCTCTGCCAACGTGTAATTGTCCTGGGCTTCGGTGAGAGCAAGCCCGATTTTAAATAGGACCCTGGTGGAGTCACGGGGGCCAGCAGAGGCTTTTCATACCTGGTAATGGAGCCTCATTAGAAACAGCAAGAGGCTGTGCGGAGAACAGAATGCACCGGCTTGCTGCGGCTCTCGTTGCCAAAGGATGATTAATGGAATGATTTACGGCAGCTGCTCCTTGGAGTGAGGGTGCAGGAGAGGCGAGAGTGAGCGGCCCCGCGCAGCCTGCTGTCTGGTGCACGCATGGAGCCTGTGGAAGAAAATCCAATGGTCCAAATGGCTGTGAGGTTCTCGGAAATTCATCGCCACGGTTGGGTTACCCAGATGAACACAGGGTTACTGTCATTTCCTAATCTGCAGGGAACAGGTTCACATTTTGTTCCCCATCACATCAAAGATCCTGCTTCCAGGGAAGGCCGGCGTCAGTCTCTCCCCGCCTCATGGCATCTGCCTACAACGTTATACCCACTTTCCATGCAACCACTATAGAAGGCAGTATAGCGCTTTCTCAAAAAGTTTCAAATAGAAATACCATTTGACCAGCAATTCCTCTACTGGAAATATACCCCAAAGAAACCATAACCGACATCCAAGCAGATATGCACACCCATGTTTATCATGGCTTTGTTCACAAAAGCAAAGAATTGGAAACGACCTAAGTGTCATCAACAAACGAATGGATAGAGAAGCTGTGGTATACTCACACAATGGAATACTACGCTGCATTGAAAAACAAAAAACTCATGAAATATTATACAAAATGGGTGACCCTGGAGGACATTATACTGAGTCAAATATCTCAGTCATAAAAGGACAAATAGTGCATAATGCCACTGTTATAAAAGAGGACTGACATAGGGTTTGGGGGGGAGATTAAGAAAGATGGGGTAGATAATGTATACTGCATTGAAACAGATGAGGGAGAGAGCTGTTTAAAAGAGATGTATGATTAGATATTGTTGCCATGACAGGCATCCAGAATGAAGGCTGCATAGAGGAGTGGACCTGGGGGGAGGGATTGTGTACCAATGAAAGAATTTTTCTTTTACTTTTCAAAGAGAAGAGTCAACTGGGGAGGAGGGGTGGGCAGTGAGAAAAGTGCAACAACGAATGAATAAAAATCCAAAGTCTCTGTAAACTTCCACTAAAATTAATAATAAATGAAGGGCAAACAGAAACAAAACAAAAAAACAAACAAAAAAACCCCCAAACCCACTTTCCACATTAGAAACCCTACCAGGGACAGAGTACCCAGTTAGCAAGGTGAGTCTGGATTTCCTGGTACTTATTAGAGTCTGCCATGAACCACGTTGCCTTCAGATGAGCACAAATGTGTCTGGGCTGACCTTGTTTTTTGGGGTAATCCATCTGTTTGCATTGCCGCTCAGACACAGAAGCATCCCCTTGTCTCCACACTCACCTTCCAAGCTGCCAGCTGTGTTTCAATTAGGGATTCATGTCTCAGCTGGAGGACAAGAAGTAAAATTAACAGTAACAAGAAAGGAAGAATAGAAGCGAACCTCAAGAGTATGGTTCCTCTAACCACACTGTATCTTCTGATGGGGTACTTGTTCCCCAAGTGGTTCTGTCAGGGGCCACCTACCAGTTCGAGGGGAACATGAGCTTCTCTGAAATGCAGCATGAGGCGGGATCTTGTCTGTTTCCACGACTCAGACAACAAACTGAACTATGTCAAGGTATCGTGCAAACTGTAAACAGCTGCTCTGCTCGTGTGATTTATGAATATAATTCCCTTGATCGCTCAGACCTGCAGGAAAATCTGCTGGAGACACTCCAACCAGTGGCGGCGGGGTGACCGCCATTTCTTACATCGCTTCTCTAGGATGGTTTCTTAAAGGGAAATAAGCTTTCTTTTGTTTGTATCAGACCTGACTTTTTAGAGGCCCAGGTGTGCGGGCCCTCAGCTGGGCCCCTAACACACATTCCCTGGCCTGGATTAGCAGCTCAGGGGGACAATGGCTATTTTGGTAACTCGGTGTGACAGGGGGATTGACAGAGAGCTGGAGGGAAGAATGAAGAAATTGAGCCTGGGCCTTTGGTCTTTCTGTTTCGGAGGCTTTGGGAGATGTGGCAGGACACACAGGTGGTTGTTTCGGTTTTAATCAGAGGGCAGGGCAGTCTGGCAGGAATAGGTGGCACTTGTGTGAACTATATTTGGCCTGGCACAGACCTTGAAAGGGCTGGGGAGGACTGCTGTGGAAGAAAACTCCAATTCTAACCAGTGAACCTATTAACGCCGCGTGGACTTAAACCGAAGTTTCCTTTCAAGCTCACTGTGGAGTGCTCTGCAAATCACAAGTCCGTGTGTGTACATAGATAAAAACACATGTTGGGTATATTTAAGAGGTCTGAAGGCCCTAGGACGCCTGTAATCACGCTGTGTGCAGAAAAGCACCACGCTCGCCCATTCCCCAGCAAGAGTGTCGTTATTTTTGCCTCAAATTATGGCCCGATGCCACCAGCGTAAATAACTCTTGCCCAAGCTGCACATTTATGGTGACCAGCCAAAGGCAGCTGACCCTGGGCTGGTGAGGCAGATGTCGTCACGCTCAAGTTTTCCAGCAAAGGCCAGCCAAAGGGGAGTGAGATCCAGCGAGGATCCACCAGGCGCACAAGCTGAGTCGTTGGAAAGCTGCACCAAAGCATTTATTTGGAGAAAGGCAGGGCGGTCGCTCAGACTACAGGCTACTTAAACAGAGGCTAAAGGGCTCTCTCCGTTCCCCGAAAGCTCTGCTTTGCTTTGTAAAGCGAACGGTGAATCAGTGAGAGTATCGGGCAAGGACTGAAGTTCCAGGTGAAGATCCTCAGGCCACCTCACGGGCCACCGGGCGAGGAAGGCAGCATTGCAAAAGGAGGATGTCTGTCCCTTAGCTGAAAAGAAACACAGACGAGTCAGAGACGAGACGCCGTGGACGGAGAAAACCCCTACCTCGCCGTGGGAACACGGGACTTGGGAAGGTTCAAGTTCACCTGACCATTAGAATGAGGTAGTTTTGGGTTTCACTCCTGCTTCATGGTGATGAGTTGTGTTAACCTTGGGCAAAGATTTATGCTCACTAGACTTTGTTTGTCTCATCTGTAAAATGGGGGAAAGGTACGATCCTGGCAGGGTTTGAGGGAGAAATGAAGAGAATAGAAACCCAGGGCTGTGTTGGCACACAGCAGACAGACATCCACTCACTGGAGTGCTTGGGTCCTTGAAGCAAACTCAGCCTAACACGCGGCTTCCTGTTTCTTTAAAAGGACCTCGTATTTATTCAGATGGTCACAGGCATCTGACAAACTCAGCGCTGTTGCAACATCTGGTTTTTATCACTAACAGAAATCAATCCAGTAAAAAGTTAGTTGGAAAGGAGGCAGATGATGTGTTTTCTGTTGTATTTTGGAATCTCTGATGTTACCTCTGCACCGAAGTCATAGGGCAGCAGAGAGGGGCCAGGTTCAGCCCAGTTCTGCCTTGTCTCTCCACAAAGCCTTCCCTCTGGGCCTTGACTCACTGCTGCTCCTTCAGAGGGTTTTCAGAGGCAGAAAATTGTCCAGGAGACAACTGCCCATCTTTCTCCTGTGGTGCAGCTGGAAGACTCGAATCGCATGCCTGTGGCTTGGTAGTGTGGCTTTTAACCGTTAGGCCACCAGAGCTCCCTTTGAATTGTGAGGGGTGGGGCTTTCTGATCACCTCTAGCACGAGTCTTATTCAATGTGTGCAGAAGTATTCCTGTGTAGGAATATTCAGATTACCATGAAAGAAAGAAAGGCTTGGATTTCTGGAAAGAGGTGGTAAGGAAATTAACCCCCAACATTGAGGCAGAGACTCTGGGCATCATTTGTTGTTGAGTTGCTATGTGCCATCGAGTTGTTGTGACTCCTAGTGACCCTTTGTACAAGAGCCCCAAACTCTGCTCTATCCTGTGCCAACGTTATTGTCTCTGACACACCTACTCCCATTGCCCCAGTGACTGAATCAATCCATCTCATCGAAGGGCTTCCTCTCTTGTGCTGTCCCTTCAGCCTCCCAAGCATATTGTCTCTCTCCAAGGACTGGGCCCTTCTTGTAATATAGGAATCATTACCCATTAAAAAAAGGAAAACAAACTATAAACTCTGGGTGTCTGCTTATAAAAGAAATGTGTATGATTGTAGTTGACTTTGTGTTTGCCAGCCCACTTGCTACTCACCCCCTTGCTGCTCCCGCTGTGCCATCGAGTCAGAACTGACCCATAGGTGACCCTCTGGTGGGTTTTCAGAGGCAGTTAATCGCACAGAAGGAGATGGCCCATCCCTTCCCCATAAAGCAGCTGGTGGATTGGAACCCTGTGCCTTCCAGACTTCAGTGCAGCTTCTTGCTACTTGACCACCAGGGCTCGCTATTGTTATTGTTAGATGCCCTGAGTTGACCAAGCCTCATAGTGGACTTATGCACCATGGTTCTGAACCCTGACCTTTTTTTTTTCTTTTTTGAACCCTGACCTTTTCTGAGCCAACTTAAATGTCTCTGACACACCTGCCCCCGTTGCCACTGTCACTGTGTCAATCCATCTCATCCAGGCTCTTTCTGTCCTGCGCTCGCCCTCCACCCTTCCAAGCATGATGCCCTTCTCCAAGGACTGGTCCCTCCTGGCCATGCGCCCACTGTATGTGAGATTGATGGAGCTTCAAAACCGAGTGGTTAAAGCGCCGAGGATGCGCTCCCACTGTGACGGGAGAAGAAGGGGCAGTACCGGGCCTCCTCGCGGTCCAGCAGGCCGTGGTAGGCCTCCACTTCCCTCTGCAGCCGGCCCTTGTGCGCCAGCAGCTGCGCGCGCTCCTCCTGCCGCTGCTCGGCCTCCGCGTGGAGGTCCCGGAGCTCGGCCTCCAGCCTGCGCACCACGGAACCCAGGTTCTGCAGCTCGATGTCGTGCCAGTGCCTGGCGTCATGCAAGGTGTTCTCCAGGCCTCTCTTCTACGAAAGAGCAAAAACGAGGGCGAAATCCCCAAGAGGCACCCGCTCTAACCATGCCCAGTGAGTGTGTGCATCGCAGGTGGGGCGCATGGCACTGGCCTGGCCACCATCCTTCCACCCAGCACAGGGACCGACACAGTTAGGGGTGGTGATGGGGTCCGTGTTAGGCTGTTTGGTGCGCGAGGATAGCCCTTAGGGAGCTGCACTGCAAACCCACAGGTTCGAATCCACCCGGGGCTCCGTAGGAGAAAGATGAGCAATCTCCTCCCTAGTGATTTACAGCCTCGAAAACCCGCTCTACGGTCAGCTATGAGTCACCTCCGACTCAATGGCAATGAATTGAGTCCATAGGAGACTAGACCCCGGTTGTCCTGATTCAGCAATCCCTGTGATGGTGGGAGGAACGGTGGGGAGGAAAGGAAAGAAGAGAAAGGAGCCTGGGTGGGGTAGCAAGTTAAAAAGAGGCAGTTTGTAGGTGGTTTGTCAAAGAAATCTTGCTTTCTGAGGCTGCCTCTGGGGCTTTTTTGCAAATGATTTGGATACACAGAGAGAGAGAGAGAGAGAGAGAGAGACCCACACCCAGGAGGGACTCTCTTTTTCACTTCTACGGTCTCATTCATCACCCACATACAACCTACTGTTGCCTCAGGCACTCCCCAGAGGCCCCACACTTGGACTGAACATCTAGGGCCTTTATTCCTATGATGACAAATTATCTTTAAGTACTTGAATGGCCATCTTTGCTGCTTCTCTTTTCCTGTGGCCCCTTCACTGTGGGGCTTCCCACTGCCTGCTATTACAGCTCTCCGGAATCCTTGCTTTTCACTGGGCCCGATTTGGGTTTCTGCCATACTCTCTAAGGTGCTGAGGAGCAATGATGTCAGTTTAGGGACTAAGGTGCCCCTGATGCAAGCTGTGGTCTTTTCAATCACATCCTCTACACCTGAAAGTTGGACAATGACTAAGAATGACAGAAGAAGAATCAATGTCTTTGAATTGTAAGAATACAGAATATCCCCTGGCCCGCCAAAACAAACAAACAAACAAACAAACAAACAAACATGTTTTGGAGAAAGTGCAGGCAAGGTGCTCCTTACAGGCACGGATGACACTTCATCTCATACATTTCAGACATGTAGTTAGGAGAGGTCAATCCTTGGAAAGGAACATCATGCTTGGAAAGGTGGAGGATCTGCACACCCATGTTTATCACAGCTTTGTTCACAATAGCAAGGAGTTGGAAACAACCTACATGCCCATCAACAAACGAATGGATAGAGAAGCTGTGGTATATCCACACAATGGAATACCACACTGCATTGAAAAACAAGGAACTCATGCAATATTATTCAAAACGGGTGACCCTGAGGACATTATGCTGAGTGAAGTTTCTCAGTCATAAAAGGACAAATACTGCATGGTGCCACTGTTGTAAAACAGGACTGACCTTGGGGTTGGGGAGAGACTGAGAAAGATGGGTTCCATAATGTATACTGCATTGAAACAGATGAGGGAGAAAATTGTTTAAAAGGGATATATGATTAGGTATTTTTGTCATGACAGGAGTACAGAGCGAAGCCTGCATAGTGCAATGGACCTGGGGGGAGGATTGTAAAACAATGAAAGAATTTTTCTTTTATTTTTCCAAGAGGGTAGTGTACTAGAGGGGAGGGTTGGGTGGGAAGAAAAGTACAATAGTGAATGAATGGAAATCCAAAGTCTCTGTAAATTTTCATTGAAATTAATAATAAAAATTTTTTTTTAAAGGTGGAGGATCAGCAAAAGAGAGGAAGACCCTTAACAAAATTGACACAATGACCATAGCAATGGGATTGAGTATACGAGGGCTGGTGAGGATGACACAGAATAAGGCAGAGCTCAGATCATGTTCATGTCACAATGAGTCACAATTGACTCCATAGCAACTAATAACACCAACAACACGATTTGAATGGTTGAATCTATGCCAGTTACTCCTCAGCACAGACTTCTTCTCTCGAATGGTAGACCTTCTACTGAATTTATTGAACATCCCATGAACATCTCATAGATGTCCAAAATCGAGCCAGCTCCTCGCTTCCTTCTGAACCTGTTGACCCTCCCGTACTTCAGCTGGAGAACTAACACGAGCTAGAACTGGGGGAAAGAAGAATCTGTGACTACCGCTCACCCTTTCTCTGTAAGTTCTGTCATCATTACCTATTTGTCTTTACATATCCTGAGATGTCTTCACATTCCCCCGTCTCCTCCTCTCCAGCCGTCATGGCCCAGGTCTACTCACAGATGCCCTCTCCTTTGAATAACATAGTGGCCTCCTAACTCATCTCTCTCCCTGTCTCTATCTTCCTGCTGCTGTGTTATGCACACAGTAACCATAGTACTTCACTAAGAGTCAATTTCTAGCCTTGTATCTCCTCCTCAGGCTCCATCAGCAGCTCCCCAAGGTCCCTAATACAGCACACAGAATCAGCCCCAGGACCTGTCTTCGCTCCCACCTCACGGTAACTATCACCATTTCTGGTCATTCACAGTGTTGGGTTCATATTGTTCACTGCCCCTGAATTGTCTTCTTCCATCCCTTCTAACGTCTCCATCTGACTCATTGCTACATATTTTGAATGACAAGTTCAGGGGCTACTTTTTCCAGAAACCTTCCTTTAAGATCTAAGATAGGGTTTGCCTAAGACTGTGTATTAAGAGAGACTTCAGCTGGTGAGCTCCTTGAGGGAAGGGGTCTTAACCTTAGTGTCTGAGACAAGGGCTGGCATAGATAAGTAGTTGATTCATACAGGATGAACCGAATAAAAGCATTTACCTTATAATTACCTATGACAGTGATATCTCCCTTTTCCACAGGCCTTCAGTGTCTTATGTTTCTTTGCATCTTAACATTCCCTGCAACTTTGAATGCTAATACATTTTTTCTCTCTTTAAAAACATTTTCTTCCCTTTAAAGTAAAAAAGAAAAAAAAACCCACCAAAAAACAAACAAAAAAACCCGCAACCCGTTAAACTTCAAAAATGATTTCTAAAAAGTATTATTACCCCCTAGTAGAAAGTTTTGAAAAGAGAGAATATAAAAACATAATCACTGATCTAACTTCCATCATTTAGATCTTGGCATTTTCCTCTTTTTACCATGCATCTTTGCTTCACATTTTTATTTATTTATAGTTATAATGATGGAACATCTGTAATTCAGCAGCTGGCTTTTTAATGTAAAGTAACAAATACTATCATCCTACCCTGGAGGGAGGCAGGTCTTACACAACTTTGCTCACGGCACCACCCACGAGGAGCTTTCTCACATCCTGTGACCGCTGTGGTTAATGAGCGTATCTTGAAGACTCTTGGCCAAGGACTCCACCTTGGATCTCGGCTGCTTTAAGAAGAGTTCATATGCTCTCTTGTTTAAAATGTCTTAAATCCCTTGAGCTATGAGAGGTGTTGAATCAGGTCCCCATTCTTGGTATATTTACAGGAGACAAAAATATGAGGACGTAAACTTGGGCCAAGCTCTAGTTTGTTGTTTACCTTTGAGTGGGAACCAGCCCTTAGCTGATCCTCCAGCCGGTTTTCAGAGGCAGTTAATTGCACAGGAGGAGATTGTCCATTCTCTTCCCATGGAGCAGCTCGTGGATTCAAACCACGTGCCTTTGGGATTGCAGCACAGTTTGCAATTTCTTGCCACTGGTGTTTGACTGGTCATGCCAAATACAGAAATGGTCACCTAGACTTTGAGAAACATTTGTTCCAACTCCCTGGGCTTCCTTCCATTGTTTCTGAAGACATTTCACGCTGTTGGTGGTTATTGATGTCATGCTCAGGTTGTTACTATGTTGTTGTTATGTGCCACTGTCAAGTCAACTACAACCCATAGCCTCTGTAAACAGAAGCCTGCCCTATCCTGCCCCATTCACCACCTCTGACACACTTGAGGCCATTGTTACAATCTCCATGTCAGTCTATCTTGTGGAAGGTCTTCCTCTTTTTCATTGACCTCCCAAGCTTGACGTCCTTCTCCAAAGACTGGTCCCTCCTGACAACATGCCCAAAGTATGTGAGATAAAGTTTCATCATCCTTGCTTCCAAGAAGCACCCTGTTTTCACTTCTCCAAGACAGGGTCCTTGTTTGTTCTCTTGGCAGTTGATGTGATATCCAGTACTCTTCTTCAACACTACAACACAAGGGCATCAATTCTTCTTTCATTGTCCAAATTTCAGATGCATAGCAAGCAATTGATAAGGCCATGACTTGGATCAGGTACACTTTAGTCCTTAAACTGACCTCCTCACTCTACAGAGTCCCTACAGAGTCCCTGAGAAGTCCCTAACAACAAATTTTCCTCAAAACAACATGCCTTTTGATTTCTTTACAGCAGTACCAAGGTTGATTACGGATCCAAGAAAGGCGGTAATTGTTGATTATTTCAATCTTTCTCCATCTGTCATGATGTTGCCTATTGACCTTGTGGTGAGGAATTTTGTTTTCTTGATATAAAGATGTAGCCCACATTGAAGGCCGTAATCTCTGATCTTCTGCACAAACACTCCCAGCTAATATCTATGATTTGGAAAAACCCTTTGCAGATTCTTGGTTGGCTTGACCATCTACAGTTTTTGCCCTACCTTCTCGATGACCTTTCCTTCATGACGCAGGACTTGTGGCCAAAGGGAGTTCATGGAAATCCCCATCAGAGAGAGACTTTGTATCTCTTATTTCCCATCCTGAAAGTCCAAGTCCATTTCCTTCACCTTTGTCATGTGCTGTTGTGTTGGTTGTGACTCATGGGGCCTATGAACAATGAAATGACTCACTGCTTCATCCTGTTCTATCCTCAAAATCAGCGCCATGTGAGAGCCCATTGTTCCAGCGTCTGGGTCCCTGCCTTCCACTGAAGTTCTTCCTCTCTTTTACTGACCTTCTACCAAGCATGATGTCTTTCTCCAGGGAATAGTCCCTCTTTTTTTTTGACTGTTGGTTACACTTTATTACATCA